ACGCCAAAAGACGCTCCACGCGCACCCCCCTATCCGGGAGGGCGCGGGGACGCGGTGTCTGGCCTCCCGCGCCTCGCGGCGCGGTGGGCCGAAGCTCGGGCTGCCGGCGAAGCGTGCCGGGCACAGCGCATGGTGGACAGCTCACGCTGGCTCTAGGCCGCAGTGCACCCCGGCGCGCGGCCGGCGCGATGGCCCCTCAGGACCCAAACGCACCGAGAGCGAACGCCTCGGACCGCGACCCCAGGTCAGGCGGGACTACCCGCTGAGTTTAAGCATATAAATAAGCGGAGGAGAAGAAACTTACGAGGATTCCCCTAGTAACGGCGAGCGAACCGGGAGATGCCCAGCTTGAGAATCGGGCGGCCGCGCCGTCCGAATTGTAGTCTGGAGAGGCGTCCTCAGCGACGGACCGGGCCCAAGTCCCCTGGAAAGGGGCGCCTGGGAGGGTGAGAGCCCCGTCCGGCATATATATGTATATACATACATACGTATATATATACATACGTATATATATACATACGTATATATATATATGTACGTATATATATATATATGTATATATATATGTATATATATATATATATATATATATATATATATATATATATATATATATATATATATATATATGTATGTATGTATGTATGTATATACGTATGTATGTATATATATACGTATGTATGTATATATAGGTATGTATGTATATACGTATGTATGTATATACGTATGTATGTACGTATATAGGTATGTATGTATGTATGTATATATATATATATATATGTATGTATGTATGTATACTCAGTTTGTAAGGCTTAAGTCTTTGCTTCTTAAAGAGACGAAGGTATTGAAATAATTACGAAGTGCAAGCTTTTATAGAAGCGTATATGATGGAGCTTTTCTCTATTTTTGGGTGGAACTTTACAAGAAGAAATGAAGCTTAGCTTGTTGTCTGTCTTTAAAACTTATTTATGCTTTACCTATGTAACGGGAGAGTCTTATGTGCTCGTGTTTGTGACTTTTAGGCTGCGTACACCCTCACAAGGTGTAGACCCGGGTTTAATATAATCTATTATTAAAAAAAAATATATATATCTTGATCCAATAATTAATTTAATCACTAGGTAGATGCATGATAACGATCAATCAATTAAGCTGCAGTCTCAAAGAAGATCTCAGAAGTAAGAGACAGAGAAATTATAAATAATTTATTGCATCTTGATTTTTTTGGGGTTGTAAGCTGTGTCGCGCGTCGAGCCGTGGTACACGAAGCCAGCTGACGTGAGGGAGACGAAGGCGCGCACGTTAATTAGCGCGAGAGCAGAGTGGCAATTAAGTAGCTAGGGTTCCGAGTTTAATATCACAGAGAAAGAGGTAAGAGCAAGTTTAATGGTATAGTCTACTACTAGCTCCACTTCATTTATAGCTAATCTAATAGCTAATTTATATAATAGTTACTTACTATACTATTAATATATGGTCTCACATGTCATACTTACATTGCGTCTTGTAGCCCGTGCTGCAGCTAACTACATATCTGTAGTCCGCTGCTATTCTCTCTCATCTTTTATCTTATTTAAATATGTTTACAGCTGGTTAATAGTTTGCTATTGTATCTGCTCTAAGAGCGATCTTAGTTAATTATTAATCCACATGCTTAATTAAGCATGTCCTTTGCGCCAAAGTCGGCTTCTAAACTGGTCTTCGGATCGATTTGTTACGCGCAGGAACTTTTGGTCATTTAGAAATTAGGATGTGCAGTGGCAGGGATTAATAGCCGGCCAAGCATTAATATTAGTAGGATGTACTTCCTCCGTCCTAAATTATAAGGACTACATTTTTTATACACAGTCTTTAATGGTATATTTTGACCATTAATTTACTTCATACTATGTTTTTAACAAATATAAAATTAGCTTTACATAAAAATAATTTAAAAGAGTAAATTGCACCCACGATACAACAACTTGGCAGGTGGGTGCGATATAATTCAAGAACTTGAGAATTGAACATCCGAGTGTAACAACTTGACAAGTGGGTGCGTTCTAGTATAAGTGCTTGACAATTTAGTATTTTGGTGAATCAATTTGGCTAAGTATATGCTAGGTGAGTTTTTTCACATTGTCAATATGCTAATACACAGTAATCCTACGGATATTACCTTATAATATTGAATTTAAACTTTAAGAATTATATTTCACATACAATTTACATCCAATTACCTTTAAGATTTTTTTTTGTTTTTTTCACCTTCTCAAATATCAACGGAAATATAATAATTTCTACATGCGGTTTAATTGACTTTCAGTTATTGGTTATTAGGATAAAAATATAAATATGTTTATACAGATCCACGCTAGTATATTGTCAAAATAAGTACTTAAAAATTTGAACTTATATAAAAAAATGCTCCAAATAATTAAGTTGTCACATAACTGCTTATTTGTTGTATTAAAATTATACCTACCTTACAAGTTGTTACATTTATACGATCGATTATAAAGTTCTTATACTAAATTACACCTTTCTGCCAAGTTGTTGTACTAGAATGCTTATTTTTCAAGTTATTGCACCAATTTGCACTCACCTGTCAAGTTGTTGCACCTTGGGTGCAATTTACTCAATTTAAAATATAAATCTAGTGATATAACCTATAATTTAAAATATAAATCTAGTGATATAACCTATGATATAACCTATATAGCATATGGAGTATATGGTTAATATAATTATTAGTAAAAAATAGCAACTTTAATTTTTATTAAAAAGAGAGCGTTCTATAATTTAAGGACGGAGGGTGTAATTAATCTGCATCGTATCCTTCAATTCTTCTTTTATATATATACACTCTATATGACATCCACAACCGCATGCAGTATATATCCTCCTCTCATACTACCCAATTTCGAGAATAGATCAGCAGTAATTTAGGTAGCAGTTCGTGTGATAAACTGATAATAATGACAGCTAGTATGGACCAGTTGTTACTTGTTTTATGGTACTGATTAACTAGTACTCATGGTTAAATCATGACGCATAGTATATGCGTAGTAGTATTTTTTTTCTCCGTCTGAACGCGGTCAATATTAATGTATAACATATGTATTGAAGTACGCATACTGATGCAGTATAAGAAACAAAATATTGATTAAAGCAAGTGTTTGTATAACACACGGAATTAGCTAGTAATTAGTAGCAATCGCGCTTATGCAAATCAAACAGGGTCGTACAAATAAAAAGGACATGTACATCTCTTTTTATTTTTTAGAACATCTCTTAATTTGGAGCTCATATAAGACGTGCGACATATTATATATTATTATAGTGTGTTTAATGTAGTGATGGCGTCAGTGACGAAGTCAAAAATTACTATAGACTATGGCTATAAGATGAAACTCAACCGATAAAGTGTTGGATTTTTTATATGGTGATTAACAAAAATTAAACATAATTTTGGAGGCAGTCCTAGTTAGGGCTAATGCCCTAGCTTATGCCTCCACCCCTGTGTGGCGTCGTGCAGCTTATAATTTCTTTTTCATTGTAAATCCGTGTTTATTTAATGTGAAAACGACGACGTCAGATAGCTAAGGGAATATTAGCTAGGTACTAGTCGTACATCGACACGAACCAACTGTGAAATTAAAATACATGTATAGTAGGTAAGATGTTGACATGCATATGTGCATGATATATACTCTCTTCAGTTATAAATATTTAACGTCTAAGGTAAACACATGTATAGTGCCTAGGATGTGTCGACAGAAATGCACACATGCTTACTCCTCCGGTTATAAATATTTAATGCTTAAGATAAATACATGTATAGTAGGAGTTAGGGCGTTAACATGCAGGTACTCCAATGGTCATAATTACTTAATAATTTATTAATATTTTAATTAAAATTTTGAAACATTGATAATTAATTTTATATTAGCATAAGTTTATAAAACCCAATAAACATATGCTATATATTATGGTACTTTTGACAGACCTATGCATAAGATCTCTATAAACCCTCAATAGGATTTTAGGGATGCTTGGAATTAACCTCTATTCTCCTCTTTAAGTTTGTTTGTATTTTTTGTGTAACAAAAACAAAATCCGACATTTTTACGTAATACTCCATTCCTTTCATATTACAAGTCGTTTGACTTTTTTCCTATTCATTTTTTTAGTTTGACCATATTTATAGAAAAAATAGTAAAATCTATAACACTAAATTAGTTTTAAATTAATATTTGAATATATTTTGATAATATGTTTGTTGTATATTGAAAATACTACTATATTTTTATATAAATCTAGTTAAACTTAAAAGAGTTAACTAGGAAAAAGATTTCAAATGTCCTGTAATATAAAACGGAACAAGTAATTTAAATCGTACAAGAATCAAAAGGTCCGAGCGGGCCGGCACCGCTTCAATATTCCGTCTTTGCACCCTTTGGTCATGCATGCAGCTAGATAGCAGGGCAGTACCTCCCCACTCCCCCAGTAGCGTCGCCAGAGATGGCATCAGAAGACCAGTCAGTCCCTGACTCCCCTGCCCCAGAGATTTTACCATGCATGCAGCCCCGTTAAATTCGTTCCCCTTTTTACCGCCATGCATGCGCGCACGCCTCTGCCTTTCTGCCCTCTGCCGCTGCACCTCAGCTAAGCTAAAGCTAAATTCCTCACGCGGCCTGTTTGGTAAGAGAAGGGAAGAGAAATGGGAGTTTTAAGGAGGGAGTTAATGGTGGAATTGGTCATGGGAGTTATATTTTTAGTCCTCATTCCTTGTTTGGTTTCACGTCGAATTCCCTCCAAGTCTCATGAATTAACAGGTCTCTCCCAGGTAAGATATTGGTGAGAATTCGACCTTTTAATTCCTCATCCCAAACCCCCTCGAATTCACTCCTAGATATCATAAACTCCCATTCCCCATCACCAACTCCCTTCAACCAAACAGTCCATGTATGTTCGCTACTTCGCTTGCGTCTCGACAACACTTTGCATCTCGCGAAACAAAGTCAGCGACCACCACATCCACACCCCCCATCATATATCTCTCTCGCCATGATACATCCTCTCATCTCTTCTCTCCCTCCTCTCCATCTTTCTTTTCTCCTTTTCTTTCTTTCTTTTCGCACTTACAAAACAGCACTGTCACTTCTCTCTCTCTCTCTCTCTCGTCTCGCAACAATTTTGTCCGCTTCCATTGGGAGCGCGGCTACTGGCTGGGTTTACCCAACACTATACCACCACCAGTATCATTGTACTACTACCCTCGCGAGCGTCAGAGAGAGAGAGAGAGAGAGGAGGTGGTGGTGGTGGTCAGATCATCATGTGTGATTACTTCTTGCAACGGATGGAGGGGGAGCAGGCCGCCGGAGACCTCGCCGACATCGTCCTCCGCGCCGGCGGGGCTGCTGCTGCTGCTGTTGCGGGCGGCGGCATCCCGTCGACGGAGTGGCAGCTACCACCGGCGGAGGAGGAGGAGGAAGAGCCGGGTCTCTTCCCGCTGCCGCCGTCGTCGTCGGATGGCTCCGGCATGAGCGGCGCGGATGCGTTCGGCGACCCGTTCGCTGGCCTCCCCGACCCCTTCGGTGGCGACTACCCCTCCTCTGGCGGAGCGGCGGCGGCCGCCGACTTCTTTGACGCCGTCGTGGCCAAGGCCGGGTTCGTCGACGTCGGTGTCCTCGGTGGCGGCGGCGGCGGTGGCTGCGATGGAGGTGGCGTTGATGGTGGTGGAGGAGGGTCGTCGCTGCTGGGCATGAGCAAGCCTATCTTGCCTAGGGCCGCCATGCAGTTGCCGTCGGTGTCGCCGAGGGCGATACGGCCGTACCCCGTGATGGCCGGTGACACGGTGAAGCTCGGCGCGCCGATGGCCGGCGGGCCGTGCGCGTTCGACGGCGCCGCCGCGGCAGGGCTGCACATGTCGTCGTCGCCGCGTGGCGCCGTCGGCGGGATCAAGCGCAGGTTCGCCGCACCGATATATGATCGCTCGCTAGCTATAGCTCGCTGTTTCGCTCAGATCTACGCAAACTAATAATTCTTGACGAGCGCCATGAAACCGAGTCCTTTGATTTCTTGCTGTGCTGGAGGAACAGTTAAAAAGATTCCCAATTTAGGGAAAGTTTGCGCTTCCTTTTCTTGCTGCCCAGCCTGCATGCCCTACAATTTCCCCATCTTGCACCTCCCAACAAGGCAGTAAGGATCAAGATAAAGGAAAGAAATTGTGAGCCAGTTTTTGATCTGTTCAGACAAAAACAGCAAAAATCAAGGTTTCATACATTCAGGAATCATCTAGCTGATGAAATGAATGTTGCGACTTCGTCAAAGCCAGCAAAAGTGGTATATACACAGATAGGAACATATATATTATAGCATCGCATAGAAGGCTAATTTAGTAGCTCTTCAAATCAATTTGTTCTTCAAACCCTAAGTTTCAGTTTCCACATCATGTTCAGAGAAGGCTATATATCCGTACATCTGTTGAAAACGAGTAATTAAGCTAGAAAGTGTTGATCTGATGATTGAGTAGTCGAGTACTTTACTGTGCATGCATATGGGTTGCTTGATGTGGTGGATTTTGCATCTGTTGATGCAGGAAGAACCAGGCTAGGAAGGTGGTGTGCATCCCAGCGCCTGCAGCAGCAGGAGGGAGGACCAGTGGGGAGGTTGTTCCTTCCGATCTCTGGGCTTGGAGGAAGTATGGCCAGAAGCCTATCAAAGGCTCTCCTTACCCAAGGTATGATGTGACTGCATCTGAACTATTCTCTCACACTAATCTCTGCCTTTCACTTGCATAATATACAATGGCTACCATCTCTCTTCTTCTGCTACTCTAATCCTTGTATACATCTGGATATCTGTGTGCTGTCATAATTGTGGTGATCATCATCTAATCTCATAACACATGCTCAAACTCCAATAGATTCCTCACCCCAACCAGGAGAGGGGAAGACACATGGATTCCTGTCTTTTCTATTGTTAGTGTACTATAGTTGTTGATAGAAGCACATGATACAATATAAACTGCAATGGGCACAAGTGGAGGAAGTAATAGAACTAATTTCAGTTTTCCCCTTTTTTTCTGAGCTTGGTAGTACATTAATTACTTTGTCCTTTCAACTGGACTGTGGAATTTTCATATATAGTTGCGTATATCCTTGATATGTAGATGCTGGATGGTGTAAAAAAAAATTGGTTATCTCAAGAAACTAAGGAATTTTCTCCTACTTACAAAAAATATGTAGAGTACATACGTCTAATCATGATCCCTCTCACATACTTTCAATCTCCTAACAGAAATGTATACTCAATTCAACTTTAATTTGATGCATAAAGAGATATGATGAGCTACCTTTTTTAAAAGGGACTATGATGAGCTATTATAATAAACCAAAAGAAATTTAGTATATAATATGGAGTTGCCTTGCTATCCACAATGCCAGTTTAGAAGTTTTGTTTTTTTAGAATTATTATGTGATAAGTTTTCTACCAAAAACAAGTTCTCTTTCTCATTAATCAGGAAGAAGTTAAAGCGCACATATTGGAATATACTGTTTCCAACTTGCAAATTAACTAGTTATCTCCCCATTGTTGAGTAAGAAATCCATGTAGTGATATATGTGGATTGTGTTTAAGTTAGACTTAATTAATAAAAACCTTTTTTTGCACCAATCTTTTTTATTAAGAAATTATATTTAATGTATTTATATATGTGCATGTTTTCATACTCTTTGTATTAGTCTATGTAGTTTGTTCTTTCGCAAACAGATATATGTGATCAAAGTTAGGTTCTTTTTTACTTCCATATAAAATTATAAAAGTTAATGTCAGGTGCTACTTACCTAGTTTTGGTTATTGTATATTATATTTGTACGAGATCAATTACTTTGATTGATTCCCTGTGGTCAAAACTTGATCTTTATTGAGTGTGATTTAATTTTGTTTGTTATTTTAATTTTAGTATTAAAGTTATAGTAACATTATTTTTAAAACGTCAAATAAGCATCATTATTGTGACAATATTGAATTTAATATAGTAACTATACTTTATTTTTGTATTGGTTTCAAAATATGATTTCCATATATATGAGCAACCTAAATACTTAACATGGTTTTATATGGTTTGCTGAAGATAATGAATAAAAAATCACATGCACACCAGATTTATATTACTCCTATTTTTTGTTTCACACAAAGAAGCATGCAACTGTCCTAATTTACATTAAATGAAAAATCATGATGATTACATATGTTAACATGTTTTCACTGGAAACTAGTAAATGTGTGATGATCAGTCCTAGAGGTGAATGAAACACAATATGCAGATGTAGTATATGCATATCATGACTTTATTTATTTCGATTGATTGCCCGCCAAGATATATATATAAAATTTAAGGTTTATTATTATTATATACTTACTTTGTTCTAAAATATAAGCAACTCTGGTTATGCACATGAAAATACGTTCAGTTGCATAGGCAGAAATGCTTATATTTTGGAAGGTTATATAGAGGAGTACCTGTTTTAACATGAATAGATGCAGTTTCCTCCTAAATATATGTAGCTACACGTTGGCGTACCACATCCTGAAATTTGATTGTGTGCAAATGTTCATTTCTTCAGAGGGTACTACAGATGCAGCAGCTCGAAAGGATGCTCGGCGCGCAAGCAGGTGGAGCGCAGCCGGACCGACCCCAACATGCTCGTCATCACCTACACGTCGGAGCACAACCACCCGTGGCCGACGCAGCGCAACGCGCTCGCCGGCTCCACGCGGTCTCATCACGCCAAGAACAGCAGCAGCAACAGCAGCAGCAGCGGCGCCTCCTCAGCCTCCAAGAACAACTCCTCCCACAGCGGTTACCACCACCACCACCACCAGAAGCCACTCGTCAAGGCGGAACCCAACGATCAATCCGCCGCCGCCACGACCGCCGCCACGGTGCCGGTGAAAGAGGAGGCCGCCATGGTAGGGACGTCGTCGGAAGCATTGGCGAAGACGACGCAGAAATCCATGGAGGATGCTGCTGCTGCTGCTTCAGCCACGGCGGCGGCGGTGGAGCACAGTGATCTCATGCAGCAGATGTTCAGCCAGAGCTACCGGCCGATGATACCGGAGGCAGCGGCCGGCGGCCACCACGACGACTTCTTCGCCGACCTCGCCGAGTTGGAGTCAGATCCCATGAGCCTGATCTTCTCCAAGGAGTACATGGCGACCAATTACAAGCCAGCAGGTGACCCAGCAGGCAAGGAGATGAATGCAGTAGACAAGGGCTTGGATCCAGCGTACATGCTGGATTGGTCTTCTACCACTGTTGTTACTAGAGCTGGTGGGAGCTCATTTATGCAAGGGGAGGGAGGTTTATGACATTTTAATCACTTTGAAACAAAAGGCAAAAGCTAGTATATGCGAATGCAAACATCATGATATGTGTCTTAATTAGAGTCTAGATAGTAACCAACTTAAAGATGACAAGAGCTAGCAACAAAATTAAGCAAAAATGTGAGAGAGGGCCTTTTCTCCTCTTATACCCTGGTATGTGTTGAGTTTGCTCTCCCTTTTCCATTTCTTCTTTCTACATGTGTTAGAGGTTTCCATTTTGTTCCACACAATTTATGCATGCCTCCTTTGGAAGTAGGAATTTTATAGGTTTTTTTGTAAAAAAAATAAACTAGATCATGTAAAAATACTGTAAAATTTCTACATTCCAAAAGGATGCCACTAGATGTAAGTGTCACTTGCTTTTCTTTGCCAACAATGTCTTAGGTAGGAAGGTTGGTGATGAGTCCATCAATGGCGCTTTCTCTCTCTATATATCTATCTCTATCTCCCATGCATTGTTTTTTTCTCTTTTGCAGTGTTCATTGTTATAGCAGAACACTATATTCTATGCTGTTGGAGACCGAAACAAATGCTCCTACTCGATGAAAAGAGCATTATAAAGACATGTACTTCAAGATGTGACAGAAAGCTGGAGGCCGCAGTGATGAAAGCTTATGTTGCAACTGTTTTAGGGGAAGTGCACTAGATGTGACCTGAGTAAACATCTCTCTCTCCTCAGTGGGCAGAACAGTGCAGCACTGGCTGTTCTCTGAGAATCTGAAGAGAAAAGTTTGAGAACAAATGCTTCTCTCGCATCGCTTGCATGAGAAGGGGATATGTTGGATCTGCCCGTGGTACATAGTTTTGTCTCCTGTGAGGAAAATACATTTAATCCACTGCCCCTCTGCTACTGGCCGGAGCACACATCTGATCGGCCTCATGGCCCATGCATATGCATGCATCATACTCCTAGCTGCCTAGTACTACTACTCCCGATACTGTACTGCTGCACATGCTACGCATTGAGTCTACATATGTACGTACATGTATGTACAAGTTGCACAACAACTATATGGTCCCTTCTGATTCAAATGAAATTCATAGAAATTCTAAAGGATTTTATTTCTATAGGATTTTTTTCTATATAGCCCTTTGAATCAAAAGAATGAATCCTATATAATCTTATGAAATTTCTATGGAATGTCTAATGCTATGTAAGTTTTGGAGGAAATCTAGCATGAGGTTCTACCTCATGGAAACTTTCCTATGATTCTTCATCTCTCCTCTAATTCCTATGTTTTTTCTGCGGTCTAATCAAACGACCATTCCTATGTTTTCTTGTGTTTTGCAATCCTCTGTTTTGCACTTGCATTCTTATTAGAATCCTATATTTTTTCTATTCCTCCGTTTTTTTATTCCTACGATTCAAAGGGGCCCTACATGTATATATACATGTGATCACTGACAGACGTACAGGCAACCATGCATACGTACCACATACTCCCTCCGTCCAAAAAAAAAAGACAAACACTGGGTTTCCGTGTCCAAGTTTTATCATCCGTCTTATTTGAAAAAATTATGAAAAAAATTAAAAAGACAAGTCACGCATAAAGTATTAAGCATGTTTTATCATCTAACAACAATGAAAATACTAATTATAAAAAAATTTCATATAAGACGAACAGTCAAATGTTGGACACGGAAACCCAGGGTTTGTCTTTTTTTCGGGACGGAGGGAGTACGTACGTACATTCATGCATGCTATGCTACGTGTGTACAGTACATGTCTATTAGTACTACTACTGGTAGTAGTAGGCTGTTAACTCCGTTGATCGATCTGGCCGGTCACACATCGTCACATGCACTAGTAGTAGCTAGTATCGCTTATGTGTACCTACGTTTGACGTGTCGTCCAACTATACATGTTTTGGCTTCAGTCCAAACTTCAACCTGTACGAATTAGGAGGAGTGGAGTACTCCCATGATCAATGCAATGCATGGCTTTTAGGCATAGAACTTGTTCTGCCAGGCCGACACGAGTTAATACCTTTTCCCATCCGGCCATAGTGCGTGCGCGAGTACGTGGGGCCACCCGTTTTGAATACATACCCCGCCAAAGGAGCTAACCTTGACCGTAAACGTACAGCAGTAGAACCGTGTGTGGGGAGATGTGATATTGCAAATTTGCAGTTATATGTAGCAGCCTAAGCATGCGATAAACGGCAGCATACACAGGTAGGGATGGAAAAAAAAGACCAAGCTCGATCGAAGTAACCGGGACCGAGAAATTCGGTCCTAGTGTTTAACCGACCGAGCTTTTATTCATTCAGTAGGCTCGGTTAATCGAAATATCCGAGAAATACCCAAATTCTACGTGAGACCCAATAACAGCCACTAGCCCAAAGAAGAGTACACACGAGCCATCCTGTCACATCGTCCCCTGTGTAGCCTCATCATCCTACCGCGCGTTGTTGTTTGTTGGTGCCTAGTGACGACACCTACTCTATTGGAGATCTAGTGCCCAGTGGTGGTCATGCTGGCAATGAGCGGAGGAGGGCGACTAGAGAGACATTTGTCGATTTTTCACGTCGGCCGATGCTGGCCAAGGTACCAACCTTTGGCCTCGACGGCTCTTCAGGAGCTGAAAATTGTGGAAGTTATGATGGTTTCTGTTATTTTTTTCACTGTATAATTTCGATTATGATCGAGACCGAGCTTGCTCAGTCTTCAAATTTGTTTAGGACTGATTGGTCTTGAGTTGTTGATGCCTGAAATTTCAATCAAGACTGAAGGCCGATACACACTGCACACAACAGGTGTGTCCCTTTAACACATGCTAAAAAGGAGTCCATGATAAACAACCAAGAGCTTACTATTACTCATTTCTTTTTTATTTGGACTAGGAGAGCCAAGCTCCCCCCCCCCCCTCCCCACACAAAAAAAAAAACCTTTTCCATTAATAGAAATTAGCATTTCCAATTTTTTTACTACATTTCTATTTGAAAGCGTGTAAGGGTGTGTTTAATTGTGCAAACCTGATTGTAAAAAAGTGGATGGAGTCATGGTTGGATCTACTTTCCCATACAACTCCATCACCACACTAAAGATGCTTTCCTAGCTTGCACCATGCAAGTATATATACATTGGCTTTGCTAAAATTCATGCCATCAAGCAGGCTTTGTTCTTTTCAGCTTACATGGGCTTATGGATTATGCACACCACGGTTTCTCAAACCACGATTTCTTCACAAAACTTTATACATCAGTATTTGCTTAATTAGATAATATATCTGATCATCCATAAAGAATAGGGTACTGGCGGAATGAGAATTTTTTTTTGCTAGTAATAATATCTGTGAGAGTGAAAACTAAAAAGAATTCGTGAACGAAGGGAGGTATATATAATGTATAAATATTTGGTGGACTTTGATTATTATAAATCAAGCCAAATTTAAAGGAGCGTCTTAAATAAGTAAAATTAGGCACGCATAATGTTGCTCCTTTTTTTTTCAAAACGCTCATCAAATACTCCCTCCATTCCAAATTGATCTACATATAGTTTTTTTGAGGTTATTCCTAAATGATCTACATATTTGTGTTCATTCATTAAGTCTATTCGTTATTTGTGCATTGGAGTAAATGGACATTGATGCATGCATCCATGCACACAAGTATTTATAACCCATATGCAGTATCTTGATTTTCTATTGGCTAGGAAATAATGGGGATGGTGCATGCATTGAGTTTGTTGCTAGAGTAAATATAGTATGTGGGAGTTATTATATTTTCTTAGCCTTGGTGTATCTATGAAATATGTAGATCAATTTAGAATGGAGGGAGTATAAAGGAGAAAAGAAAAAAAAACGACCGTGCACACGCGGGTGCATATATGATCTTGTCTCCCCAGTTACTATCAGGCCCGGCCGGCCGACCAGGCAGGGCCAGAAAATCGTGGCCGTTCCCTCCCTCATCACAGTAGCTCTGATACGTCCCTTTCGCTTTACACGCCCAGCAGTCTAGTCAAAGAAAAGCCAGTGGACACTAAAGACCACTCATGCTTTTTGCAATTTTTTTCCCTAGCTTTGGCTGGCCTGGTGCTTGCATTGCAGCTAGCTAGCAATCCCCCTCAAATTTACTTGGGACATGGACGCTATGTGTGGTGGAGTGTCATAATCGAGCTAAAGATGAACAGCGTCTTCAATTAATCAAAGTTTAGGAACATCATGCTGTTTGTTTTTTTTAAAAAAAATAATATATACTATATAGTACAGTTTACCAGAAATACAGGATTGTTCATATGAGTCGTATCGTTGTGACCCTATATCTTCATTTAGATTTTAACATCGTAGGCCATGTTTAAAAAAAAACTCATCTAATTTGCACATTGTAGACTTTGAGACATCAAATTTAATATTTCCTCCATCCCAAAATATAAAACTTCTATCATTTAGATTTTTTTTCCCAAAATTTAATAACTTCTTCACCAACATTTTTTTTCCAACCAATCACAATCATTCAACATTTATTTTCCACCTACCTCTACTTCTTAACCAATTACAACCTTCTCCATTTAATTTTATTTACTTTATTAATAATCGTGTTTAACTCTAAAACTTATTATATTCTGAAACGAAGGTAGTACAACTTATTTTTTTATCGATTTTAAATTTTGGACTTAATTATCAAAACATGAGAAGGCTACAAGCCTACAACTAAGACTCTAAGTCAAGTAAATTAAACTTGATATTTCTTGATTAGTCCTACTCCCTCCGTCCAAATCAAGTAACTGGACAGTATTTGTTTTTGCTCATTCATATATAGCAAAGAATTGTTTTTTTTTCACCGGAGGGAGTACGTTTTATAAAGGAGACCTGAGCTATTCCTTTTTCTTCTTTTGTAGTTCAATATACTACACCATCCATTCTATAATAATCCAAATATACCAACACTTTCACCTGCATTATGATCTTCTCAACTAAAAATCACAATCTTTCATCAGTCGGTTTCTCCATGTAATTTATTTTCTCAACCAATCATAACATATTCTCCTATTTAATTCCATCCTTATTTTTTTTAGAAACGCAGATGTTCATAATACACGTACACTCGTCGCTATGAAAACACACGCTCATCCTACCTCTACTAGCACCTTCGAAAGACTGGATCGATATATCTTGAGATTGATAAAGTCACCACGAGCGTCTCGTTGTCGACAGATATCCTGATACTTTTTTATAATTTGTAACAGAAGTACGTACTCATAATCCTCCAGAAGAGAGGAAAACGGAGCCGGAAGTTTGCATGGAATTAATTAACGGGATTGATACGACGTATACCAGTGTCGTCCATGTTGGATCACCAAACCCTCGAATCACGCGCAGGAGTTGACAGAGGTGGATGGCGGTACGTTCAGGAGCTCCACCGTGGGCCGTGTGATGAGCCGCCCGGTGGACGCTTGCAAGTTGCAAT